AAATAAATCTATTAATAGAATGCAACATATCAGTAAAGGCTAAAGGAGACAAACCATATAATCATCTCAATGGATGCAGAAAAGGTATTTGGCAAAATTTAACATCCATCATCATTTAAAAACAAACAACAATAGCAAAAAAAAACTCTCAGACAACTGGAAACAACTAAAGACCAACAACAAATATTAAATGTACAATATGACATCATCTATATAATATTTTAAAGTACTAAAATGACATGATTTAAATAAAACATATAAATACATAATGAAAGTATCACAAAGTGCTAGAGAAATAATAAATACCAAATTCAGAAGGAAGTTCATCTTTAAAAGAGGTAAGGCACTGGCATTTGAAGCTTCAACTATATCTGAAATGTGTATTTTTTTTTAAACAATTTCCCCTTGGGAAAAAAAAAAAGCCAAATCTCTAAACCAACCATGGTAAAATGTTAAAATCTAATGTTATGTACATGGTATTCATTATTTTATTCTTCTTTCTTTTTTTGAGATGGTTTCTCATTTTGTTGCCCAAGGCTAACATGCTGTAGCATCATAGCTCACAGCAACCTCAAACCCCTAGGATCAAGCAATCCTCTTGCCTCAGCCTCCCAAGTAGCTGAGATTACAGGTGCCCACCACAACATGGGGCTAGTTTTTTCTATTTTTAGAAAAGATGGGATTGCATGCTTACTCAGGCTGGTCTCTAACTCCCTGAGCTCAAGCAATCCACCCACCTTGGCCTTCCAGAGTGCTATGATTACAGGTATTAGCCACTACACCTAGCCAACAATTATTTAATAATAGTTAACACAAAAGATTCAATAAATACATTAAGAAAAAAGTCCTCCTATAATCCCAGTGATGCCTAGGATGCCGCTGTAATAGAAGGAAAAGTCTGAAAAAAGGCAAAAGGTTTTATGAGTTGTCTCTTACCCTTTTGGTTAAATTAAAATCTGCATTCCTGTCCAAGGCCAGTAACCAAAGGGGCAGAAATATGTTCTTTGTATCTTAAACCACAGGAGATAGCAGATAACAGAATTGTCCAGACAGATGTCATAAGATAGTCTTCACTGGAGATACTAAACAGGAAAAGCCCACAACTTCCTTTAAAAAAACCTCTATATTTCTGCTTAAAGGGATGACGATGGCTCTTTAACACTAGAGTCTGACATCCTCCTCATTTGCTGGAAAATTAATAAAATTCTCATTCCTTTTCCTCAAACCACATGTCCTCATTCTTCCTTTGGAATCAGGACAAGTACCAAACTTTCAGTAGCATCCCAATGAAAGGAAGAAGCCAAATGAGTTCTTGGCTTCACACTGGAAAGGCTTAGAAAGCAATCCAACTAGCAATAGGAACTTCATAGAGATAGAGCCTACTACACAGAGGTGGGGTCCTTTCCTGAAGTTTGAGGCCACTGATCCAAAATTAAATGGTTCATCTGATCTCTGAGGAGATCAGGAGAAAGACAGAGATAATAGCCAAATACCCAAACAGGCTAGTTTTGGCTTACTTGATAAGGAAGTCCCCTCTGCTTTAATTGCTTTTTTTATTGTTTCACATTAATTTGAGAGTACAAAGAATTAGATTATAATGTTTGCATTTGTGGGTGATACCCATAGCTCAGTGGGTAGGGCACTGGCCACATACACTGAGGCTGGCGAGTTTGAAACCAGCCCTGGCCAGCTAAAACAATGACAACTGCTACAACAACAACATAGCTGGGCATTGTGGTGGGCGCCTGTAGTCCTAGCTACTTGGGAGGCTAAGGCAGAATTACTTGAGTCCAAGAGTTTGAGGTTGTTGTAAGCTGTGACGCCATGGCACTCTACCCAGGGCAACATAGTGAGACTGTCTCAAAAAAAAGGAAGGCAGTGCCTGTGGCTCAGTGAGTAGGGCACCAGCTCAATATACTGAGGGTTCAAACCTGGCCCCAGCCAAACTGCAACAAAAAAACAGCCGGGCATTGTGGCGGACACCTGTAGTCCCAGCTACTTGGGAGGCTGAGACAAGAGAATCGCCTAAACCCAAGATCTGAAGGTTGCTGTGAACTGTGATGCCAGGGCACTCTACCGAGGGCAACAAAGTGAGACTCTATCTCTAAAAAAAAAAGTAAAAAATAAATGTTTGCATTTTTTATCATTGTGTCCTGCCTCCAAGAGGTGTGCCATACACCCTAACATTGTACTCATTAAGTTGGAACACACCCATCTGCCCCTAACTCTCCCGCCACCCCCACCTTGAATTGATTTGAGTTTTGTCTATTATGTTGCCATGTATTAGATTGTCTACTGGCATCATATTAGTACATTGGATTGATTCTTGCTCCTCCATTCCTGTGATACTTTAATAAGAAGAATGTGTTTCAATTCCATCCATAGCTATGAGCCATGACACCATGGCACTCTACCTAGGGCGACAGTGTCAAACAAAATATGCTCCTTCCTTACCTGTCCATCTGAATTTTCTTCAGTGTCTCTATTGTTATTAAGCTCTGCTTTGAATGTTGTTTGAAGACAAGATCTTGCACTTTGTTAAACTCCGTAGCAGTTTGGCCTCCTTGTCTGGTTACTAGTGACTTGCTTCCTTCTTTAGGTATTTTTGAAATTGTTTTATGTATTGGAGGTTTATCTAGGCTTCTCCCCTCTACATTCATTTCTTTACTTTTCTTTAAAAACAATAAATGATGTTAAGAAAAAAATTTTTAAAGTCAAGATACAATACTGTAAGAGGGCCTCTGTCTACATTTTTCATCCTTACCTTCTCCGACTTGTACACTATACTCCAATAAAATGTACCTTTTTCTTCAGTCACGCCAAACTATACCCTGCTGTTTTCTGTCTTCTTGCTTTCACATATTTCCTTTTTCCAGGCCAGGCACAGTGGCTTATGCCTATAATCCTACCACTCTGGGAAGGCTGAGGAGGGTGGATTGCTTGACTTCACAAGTTGGAAATCAGCCTGAGCAAGAGTGAGACCCCGCCTCTAAAAAATAGCCATGGGGTTGTGGCAGGTGCCTATAATCCCAGCTATTCAGGAGACTGAGGCGGGAGGATCACTGGAGCCCAAGAGTTTAAGGTTGCTGTGAGCTATGACACCACAGTACCCTACCAAGGGTGACAAAGTAAGACTCTGTCTCAAAAAGAAAAATTCCTCTTTCTATCATTCTTCAGCTGGTAATCTTTTATTATTTTTTTTGAGACAGAGTCTCAAACTGTCAGCCTGGGTAGAATGCCATAGTGTCACAGCTCACAGCAACCTCAAACCCTTGGGTTTAAATGATTCTCTTGACTCAGTCTCCCAAGTAGCTGGAACTGCAGGTGCCCACCACAACACCCGGCTATTTTTTTATTGTAGTTGTCATTGTTGTTTGGCAGGCCTAAGCTGGATTCAAACCCACCAGCTCCTGGTGCCAAACCGCCACCAGGTAATCTTTAACACTCTGATCAAAGATAAAGTTCCCTGTGAAATAGCTCTGTTACCAGGCATTTACCACATTGTAATTATTTGTAAAATATCTCAGATTGTTGGTTCTATCAGTTAAGGGACAGTGTCTTAGATATCTTGGTTAACTCCAAAAAAATTTTAAAGTCTAGTCTTAAATTAGTTTTGGAGTAAGATTGGATATTAAATAACCTTGGCCATCTTCATAGTCCCATTGCTTAGAATAATGCCTGGGATACAGTAGAGCCTCAAATGTTCACTGAATATGTGAATTTGAAATATAAATAATAAAAGGAGAATCATATCAGAAAGTGGAAGTTGATAGATTTAGTAGTGTGGTATATATTTTGAAGTTCATGTAGGAAAAAGCCAAAATAATTTCTTTTCAAACCCAAACTTGAATACTAAAGAACCATAGGAATAGCTTTTAATTGATGATTCCTATTTAATATATGGCTAAAAGCTTGAGCCCTTGGGAGGCCTTAACATATAGTGACTATACATATGGACTCAGAAGCCATGTTTGAATCTAGCTCTATCTCTTATTAAACTATATTGGCCTTAGGCACCTTTTTTTTTCTTTTGAGACAGAGTGTCACTTTGTTGCCCTCAGTGGAGTGCCATAGTGTCATAGCTAACAGAAACCTCCAACTCCTGGGCTTAAGCAATTCTCTAACTCAGCCTCCCAAGTAGCTGGGACTACAGGCACCCAACACAATACCCAGCTATTTTTTTGTTGTAGTTGGCATTGTTGTTTGGAAGGCCCAGGCTGGGTTCGAACCTGCCAGCTCTGGTATCTGTGGCTGGTGCCCTAGCCGCTGAGCTATAGGCACCCAGCCTAGGCAACTTTTTAACATCTGTGTGCTTCTATTTTCCCATTGGTAAAATGCATGGTTATTTCAGATTTTGTCTAAGGAGGTTAAGAAGAAAACATAAGGCCTTGGGGGCCTGATTTTCTGATTTACCTAACAATTCATTATTTCTCTGCCCTTATGCTTTGGCATTAGGAAAAGGAATTGTGTTTCATAGCCTGATTTACCAATAACTAGAAAGAAATGTGAATTTTTAAATGAGAATAAAGAAGCCAAGGCCGGGTGTAGTGGCTCCCACCTGTAATACTAGCACTCGGGACACCGAGATGAGTGGACTGCCTGAGCTCACACGTTCAAGAGCAGCCTGTGCCAGAGCAAGACTTGTCTTGAAAAATAGTCAGGCATTGTGGCAGGCACCTGTAGTCCCAGCTACTTGGAAGGCTGAGGCAAGAGAATCACTTGAGCCCCTGAGTTTTGAGTTTGCTGTGAGCTATGACACTACAGCACTCTACTGAGGGTGAAAAAGTGAGACTCTGTCTCAAAAAATCCTAGATGGATTGAAAACATTCTTGTTAAGTATCACTAGATTGAAAAAACAAGCATCACATGTACTCAGAACCAATTTAAAACTAGGAGATTAACAATTACAGACCCACACAGGGTCTCGCTCTTGCTCAAGCTGGTCTAGAACTCCTGAACTTAGGCAATCCACCTGCCTTGGCCCTCCAGACTGCCAGACTTACAGGCATAAGCCACTACACCTTGCCAGCAAAGTCATTATATATATATATTTTTTTTTTGTTGTTGTTGTTGTTGTTTTTTGAGACAGAGTCTCAATATGTCACCCTCAGTAGAGTGCCATAGTGTCACAGCTCACAGCAAACTCAAACTCTTGGGCTCAAGCAATTCTCTTACCTCAGCATCCAAGTAGCTGGGACCACGCCTAGCTCTTTTTACAAACAAGGTCTCACTCTGGCTCAGGCTGGTCTCAAACCGTGAGCTCAGGAAATCCACCTGCCTTGGCCTCCCACAGTGCTAAGATTATAGGCATGAGCCATCAAGCCTGGCCAGCAAAGTCATTTTAGATTAAAATAACATTGAGAGAGTTGAGTCTCCTTCTACTAATATTTTTAGCTTTTAACAGGTAAGAAACACAAGACAGGTAGAGACAACTCAGTAATTTGACCTCCTCAGTATACTGCACCTATACTGATGTTACTATAGGCCTTTTGAATAATGCCAGTGTATTGGAAATGGATATTCTGCCTGGTAGTGTATGTTGAGCTATGGCAATTTCATCAACTGAGAGGACATTTCTCAGAGAGTTATTGTAGCCCATTATCTAGGGTAAAGGTACTATTTCTCAGGTGAAATTTAAGGAAAGAAAGCAAAGTTAAATAATGGTGAATGAGCATATACCAGGCTGGTGCTTAGTCTTCCCTCATACTGAACTGGCATGACATAGTTTAGAATAGAGAGCTGGTCTATTGTATCTTCCAGAACTGCAGAGACCCTCAACACATCTGGGAGGGAGAGTGGCTCTGTGATTTCTGGGATGATTTCTACATCTGTATCCATAGCTATTCCTTCTTCTTCTGTAGCAGTAGGTGGTTCGCCAGTTACTGAAACCATTATCTCAGAATGTTCATCTTGTAAAGGAAGGTTTGAGCCTTCCAGCATGACTCTACGAAAAGAATAAAGACAAAATAAGTCAATGGTTAATGTTTAAATGTTACTTAAGTTCAAAAGCACAGGCAGCACTTAGACTGGCTCCTGTGAAGTTCAGATTGTCATCTAATATAATCTTTGTGAAAAATAAAGCAAGAGTTTGCATGTGATTTTGCTGAATACCTTCTATTTTGACCAGTGTTTACATGTGATTTTGCTGAATACCTTCTATTTTGTTTAATAAAGATAAAAAGCCCACGGGCAGTGCCTGTGGCTCAAAGGGGTAGGGTGCCAGCCCCTGCCAAAAACTGCAAAAAAAAAAAAGATATAAAGCCCATGATATTTGACTATGCTTAACCGATTTGAATTTGAGCCAAAATTAACTTTTTTTTCCTAGCAACATCCTTAGTTGCTAAGCAAAGGTATCTCATGATTAGTGAAAAACAGAATGTGGTAGCCTCCAAAGGTACCCCAAGTGATTTTCACATTTCAGTATTCATGCTTTTGTTAGTCTCCCCCACATAAAATAGGACTAACCTGTGTAACCAAAAGGATATTACAGGAATTGACAGAGTATGACTTCCAAGGGTAGGTGATAAAGGACATTGCAGCTTCTGCCTTACTCTCTCATTATCTCTCACTCTGAGGGGAGCCAGCTTGTCACGAGGCTACTTACTAGCATACTATCGAGATATCTAGAGGGTGAGAAGTTTAAGATCTCTTGCCAGTACCCAGCATCAATATGCCAGTGGTGTAAATTAACCATCTTCCCTGAGCATCCTCTAGCCCTCATCAAGTCTTCAGAAAACTGTACTCCCTGGCCAACTTCAATCTTATGAAGGACCCTAGGCCAGAGCCATCTAGCTAACTGTTCCCAAACTCCTGACCCACTGTGTGAAATAATAAATGTTTATATTTTAAGTCACTAAAATGTAAAATTCTTGGGAAATTTGTTACACAGTAACAAATACACAGAAATGTAACAGAAGGAATAATTTAAAAAATATATATAAAATAAACTGGAATTTTGTTTTATGAGACAGAGTCTCACTTTGTCACCCTTGGTAGAGTGCCATGGTGTCATAGCTCACAGCAACCTCAAACTCTTGGGCTCGAGTGATCCTCTTGCCCACCATAACACCCAGCTATATTTTTAGAGACAGGGTCTTGCTCTTCCTTAGGCTCGTCTTGAATTCGTGAGCTAATCAATTTGAATTTTGAACATACTCTTCCATTCTTCTTGATTTAGTTTTGTTATCTCCCATAGTATATTTCCAATGTCACAAAAATGTAGTCACCTAAAATCAGAAGGAAACATTGGGATTAGTTTAAGGAAATTTTGAATAATTTATGAGTTATTTTGATGCCCTTTCATTAAGAGAAAATTAAAGAATCACAATAGCTGTGGCTTATTTTCTTTTCTTTCTTTTTTTGAGACAGAGCCTCAAGCTGTTGCCCTGAGTAGAGTACCATGGCATCACAGTTCACAGCAACCTCCAACTCCTGAGCTCAAGCGATTCTCCTGGCTCTGCCTCCCAAGTAACTGGGACTACAATACCTGGCTTTTTTTTGGTTGCAGCCATCATTGTTGTTTGGCAGGCCCAGGCTGGATTTGAAGCCGCCAGCTCAGATGTATGTGGCTGGCACCTTAGCCGCTTAAGCCACAGGTGCTGAGCTGGCTTATTTTCTTTATACATAGCAGAATCGTTCCAGAGATGAAAGAATCACTGACATTTGTGACATTTGTGACAATGGGGAGCACATTAAGCAGTCTACCAACACTGAAGATACATGCATTCTTGAGGCTTTTCTAAAGGTCTATTAATGTATGAAATGATTTCAGTATTTTTTTAATTTAAAAATTTTTTTAGTGATAAGTTTTGCTATATTGCCCAGCAATCATAGCTACAGTGCAGCCTTTATTTTGAGATAGAGCCGCAAGCTGTTGCCCTGGGTAGAGTGCTGTGGCATCACAGCTCACAGCAACCTCCAACTCCTGGGCTCAAGCAATTCTCTTGCCTCAGCCTCCCATGCAGCTGGACCACTGGCACCCACCACAACACCTGGCTCTTTTTTGTTGCAGTTGTCCTTGTTGTTTAGCTAGCTGGGGCCGGGTTTGAACCTGCCAACTTCGGTATATGTGGCTGGCGCCTTGGTAGAGTGATATGGTGTCTCAACTCACAGCTCTTGCCTTAGCCTCCCACATAGCTGGGACTATAGGCACCTGCCACAACACCTGGCTATTTTTTTTTTTCCATTGGTATTAGAAGTTTTTATTTGGAATTTGATCCATAATCTACACAAGTTACTTATATGGCATGAAAATGGAAAACAGCACAAAATACAATTGAGGTATAAGCTAAGAACACGGTATGTCATGTTTCAATAAATATAATTCAAATGCCCAGCTATTTTTTAGAGACAGTGTCTTGCCCTTGCTCAGGCTGATCTCAAACTTCTGAACTCAGACAATTCACCCGGCTTGGCCTCCCAAGTGCTGGGATTACAGGCATGAGCCACCTCACCCGGCCTGATTACCATAATATTTAATTAGATCACACCATTCCTCTGATTTGCCATGTAACAGAGTTTGTTGCACCTGGACCTAGAAGAACAATTGAGATTACTTTTAGAAAAACTATTAATCCTGGATATCAGTTTAATGCTGCCATCAAGATTTTACCCCTCCTCAGTAAACTAAAATTCTTTCTGCTTAAGTTAGCTTTATAGCAAGAATGCCCATGGAGAATTTTGGCTTATAATGAATGGACAGGGAATGCTAAGTTTCCACTGTGATTTTGTCCACAATAAAGTCACTCTGAGAGAGGTGGTGCAAGCCATGTCTCACATAACAAAAATCTGACATGCAAAAATTAAAAAATATAAAACAGAATCTTTAGGTAAACTGAAAATAACTAATTTTCTGGTGCAAGGGAAGTTCTAAGAGGAAGCAGCAGAATTTTCCGTTATGGCATTTGTTCTATTTTTTTGGCCATGGGGTATAGGTAAATGTGATTGACACAGGTGAGACTGGCATAGTGCTCATGTAGAGCTTTCATGGTATCCTGGCTTCTCATTCCTCATGCTAGAAACCCAGAAGTTATTCCTGCCACTTCATTTAGACATCAGCATTTCCCCAATCCAAGCCACCACCAAGTCCTATGGATTTTACCTTCTATTTCCATATCCTACAATACCATATTGAGTCTACTTGTTTCTTCCTTGAACTACTCTAACCATTGCACAGGCTACTCCTTCAACTTGAGCCACTTTTCCCTCACCTCTTCACTTTGTAAAGTCCTAATGATCTATTTGGTACCAGCTTAAAAAGTAATTTTTCCAGGTAAATGCCATTTGCCCTTCTAGATTCAATTCCACCATTTTCTGTCATTGACAGACTAACCCATTAGGAGTGCAGCAATGGAAGATTCCAGGTATTTATTTTATTTATTATTTTTTGGAGACAGAGCCTGAAGCTGTTGCCCTGGGCAGAGTGCCGTGACATCACAGCTCACATCAACCGCCAACTCTTGGGCTTAAGCGATTCTCTTGCCTAAGCCTCCCAAGTAGCTGGGACTACAGGTGTCCACCACAACGCCCAGCCATTTTGGGGTATAGTTGTCATTGTTGTTTGGCAGGCCTGGGCTGGATCTGAACCCACCAGCTCTAGTGTATGTGGCTGGTGCCTTAGCTGCTGAGCTACAGGCGCCAAGCCTATTTACTTATTTATTAAAGTCAGATATTTACTCTCATATCTCCTTCTCTGCCAGCTTATCATTGGTTGGCAATGTTCCTTTATCAAAGGACATGACATGTCTTGGACAAGACAACTCTCTCCAAATTACTATCTATCTCTGGGCTTACATATAGTAAGTACTCCTCCCCAAATACCTGAAGACTGCATTAGCCCTTGTAGTTTCACTTCTGCTTTACCTTTGTAAAGATAATTTATTAAACTCTCAACTCTGCCAATTTTCTTCAAGGGTTGATACAATGACCTAGTGCATATATATGTATTTATAAACATACAGGTATACGCATGTATATGTATGTATTTGTATTCACAAATAACTGAAATACAAGCTTCAGTTATTTGTATTTATATATATGTATAAATTATATATATTTATAAACATACATGTATATGCATGTATATATGTGTATTTGTATTCACAAAAAACTGAAATAAAACAATTTTCACTTACCATATGTGATAACATTCTGTTTTGTTTTGTTTCTTTGAAAATGAGTCTCACTTTGTCACCCTTGGTGGGTGAGCCATGACGTCATAGCTCATAGCAACCTCAAACTCATGGGCTTAAGGATTCTCTCAGCCTCCCTGAGTAGCTGGGACTACAGGAACCCAGCACAACACCTGAGTATATTTTAGAGACAAGGTCTCGCTCTGGCTCAGGCTGGTCTCGAACCTGGGAGCTTAGGCAATCCACCCACCTCAGCCTCCCAAGTGCTAGGATTATAGGTGTGAGCCACTGCACCCAGCCCAAGATGGGTGGATTGCTTGAGCTCGCAAGTTGGAGACCAGCCTTGAGCAAAAGAGAGACCCTCATCTCTACCAAAAATAGAAAAACTGAGGCAAGAGATTGCTTGAGCCCAAGTTTTTGAGGTTGCTGTGAGCTATGACACCATGGCACTCTACCAAGGGTGACAAAGTGAGACTCTGTCTCCAAAAAAAAAAAAATGTAGAGAAGAGGTCTTATGTTTCCTAGGTTGGGCTTGAACTCCTGGTCTCAAATATTCCTCCAACTTGGCCTCCCAAACTGTTAGAATTACAGGCATGTGCCACTGCACCAGCAGGATATGGTTTTGTTTTATTTATTTATTTATTTATTTTTGAGACAGAGTCTCAAGCTGTTGCCCTGGGTAGAGTGCCATGGCATCTTAGCTCACAGCAATCACCAACTCTTGGACTCAAGTGATCCTCTTGCCTCAGGCTGGTCTCGAACTTGGGCCTCCCAGAGCACTAGGATTACAGTCATGAGCCACAGAACCCAGCTGCCAGGATCTGGTTTTAAAACTTACTTATACACATCTGTTTCATTAAACTTTATTCTTTATTACTTTCTCATACCTTATCCATCAGCAAATCCTGACAGAATTTAAATATACTCATCACTCCTGTCTCCACATCATCATCTCTCATTAGGTTTCTTTTAAGAGCCTATTATTTGATCTTCTTGTGGGTGCCTTTGTCTCCTTTGTCTCAATACAGTGACCCTGTTAAAATGAAAGTCACAGGAGTCACTCTTTTGTTCAGAAGCCTCAAATGGCTTCCTATCTCAGATTTTTTTTTTTTTTTGAGA